AACCAAAAAAGGTGAAAAATAAAGAATAGAGAACAAAGATAAAATACAAGTTGTCAGAAGGAAACAGAATAGAAATTAGCCTAAAGGAAGTAGTGAAAATCCACCCACAAATATCTGTGCCCACAGGGACATGTCAGAGGTCTCAATAGTGAGTATTCATGTTCCCCTACAGTCTGACAGGACAGTGTAACTAGATCACCATATTCCTATATCTGAATCTCTATAGTCAAGATTTATCACCAGTTATCTGAATAAATTGCTTGAACTTTCTTCGAGGTCTCTTTTCTGAGTTTACCTTTATCAAAATAATGGCACAAAAGTAGCAAGAAGGAGAAGCATACCCATAAACCTCAAGCCAAGCACTGCCTCTGGCTCTGGAGGTGACGTCAGTACAGGCTACAAGGCACTGAAGGAACCCACCTCAAGGCGACACCTCAGCTTCCCTGCTGGACAATAGAAGGGTTTCTTTCCTGCCTACCCAAAGTGATTCTATGAATATAAATTATATATAGTGATTACAAATCATAGTGATATGATATTCACTGATATTACACAGACTTAAGACCATAATTTAGTAAGTACTCAAACTGTAGTAGATACTGCAAAATCTGCCCAAGACCATGCTTTGGTAGAGGTGCTGCGATCTACCAAGAAGTGCAATAAACAACATGCGGAACCCCACCTGTGACACAAATGTCAACAGACGAAGGACCCAAAATACTTCTATACTCCTGCCAAAGCCTGAAGCAGAGAATACAGCCTGACGTCTAAATCCAATGGATCTTCTCCTGGAAGCCCATTTCTGGGCAAATTTTCTTAACCACCACAGGCCTTTCTGCTGAGGCAAGGTCCAGGATCAGCATAGGACTGAGCAGGACATTGAGCGGATCCCAAGAGAGAGAAGGGTGAGATGAGACTCCCTTGCCAGTTAATCTTCCTAACTTGACAAAAGTGCCACAAGAGCACTTTGTCTCCTTTGGGGTGAGTTACAGGAAAGAGAATCTAAAAATTAATTTTAGAGGAGAAATCCCTGTCACACACACCAGAGGGAGAAGTTCTTCCCTCTGACAAGAGGCAGAGCCAGTATCTGAGGTTGTTGAGGCCACCAACAACCCCACATTACCCTCAGTGGCAACTGTGCATAAGTACATCTGGTAAACTGTTGGGTAGGTGGGTAACAAGGATCGATTTTGCTTGTGGGTGTACGTGTGTGTATGCATGCATTTGTGTGTGCACAGTTTAGTATTTATACTTCCTGGTATAAAACCCAGCCCTCTAGATTTGGGAGAAGGGCTGTAATCAGAAATTAAAGAAAAAGTTTCCACAAAGACTCTGATCACTGAGGCACAAACAGCCCACCCTGTCCACAGGATAAAAATACAGCACAGAGTTGGGAGAGAAGCCTTCCCCACCACCTTCAGCATGGAGCTCAGTATAGCTCTCAAGCAGCAAAGCCTCTGAAGAACAAAGCTGCCCCTTGACAGACAGGTGGCAGTGACACTTGTGGAAAAGTTGAACACAGACAATGCTGACAAATTTACAGGTCCCTAAAAGACAATAATGACCACAGCAATAGGTTTAACTCTTAGGAAAAAATCAGCTGCATGAGCAGAGTTAATCTCTTAAACTTGTGTATTAGTTTTCTGTTTATGACCTCACAGTTTCTGTGCATTAAGAGACAGCATCAGTTGAGCTCTGTTTAGCATCTCATGCAGGTGCGATGAGAGCATCTACTCAGACACAGTGCATCTGAGGTTCATCTGGGGGAAGATCCACTTTTGAACTCACCTTTCAGCTGTAGGGACTTCTGTTTCTTGCTGGTTGTCCCGAAGAGACAGCCCTCGGCCCCTTGAGGCCACTCTTGGTGTCCTGCGACCTGGGTCTCCCAACAAGGTGCCCACATCTTCAAAGTCAGAAAGGAGGCAGTGGCTCCAGCAAGAGCTCTGCAACCTAATGTCACCCTGTTCCCTCTGCTGACTGTAATCAAGTCATGAGGGACAGCCACTCATGGGATTGGAGGGAGAGCAAATCAAATTGTCATAAACATCAGCAGGCAAGTGTCATAGGTACCCTGAAGTCTGGCCACTACCCCTGGATTAAACAAGACAGTTTCTCTTGTGAAGGAAACCCAAAATTAGGCAGTTCGGGCACCTGGCCCCTTCAAGTTCTCCAGCCCATAGTCCTTAGGGTCTGGCTTTCTTCCTGACCGAAGGCCCACAGAGCTGCAGCCTGCCACTTCCAGGCAGAAGGATGACACAAAAAGAAGGGGGTGGGGGGTGCTCTCCTTGGAGAGACTTCTTAAAAGTGTCATTCACATTTCAATTTGTGTCCCACTTGATAGATTATAGACCAGGGCTCCACCTAGGTACAAAGGAAGTTGGGAAACAGAGCTGACACTCTAATTATACTCAGAACCCCAAAACAGGATAAAAAGGAGATAGAGTAGAGGAGGAGGGAAAGAGAAGTCTGCTACACTGGACATCAACAAAGTGATCCAGACGGGAAAAGAGAGCAAAGATCTCGTGGGATCGCTGTGAGGATCCTTGGGAGAGCACGAAGCATCCCTGGAGGCCCCCACAAATGATGGGCAAGATTCATTCCAGAGATTCTGTCATTATCTGCACCCCATCTGCACCCACGCCAGTGAGGTCTGGAGAAGTTGTCCCATGTTCCCACGGTTTCCAAACTGAAATCATTGTCAGACTCAGCTTCTTGCTTAAGAACTTAGGTTCAGGGGGCTGGAGATTTAGCTCAGTGGCATAAGTGCCTGCCTTGCAAGCAGGCAGTCGCGAGTTAGATCCCTGGTACTGCTAAAAAGGAAAAAGACAAAAAAAAAAAAAAAAAAAAAAGAACTTAGGTTCAGAACTGAACCCCTGACCTGCTGACTGGTTTCTACAAAGGAAGGCAAAGACTTTCTGTGATGCCACACTCCTCAGGGGAATCTGATAGTCAAGTTTAGAAATTACCAATATGTACATTTTCCAAAAAAATTACTTTTTCTCACCTTTCTTTAACTCGGGACGGTTATTTATTAGTCTAAATATCATGATGATTCTGATGACTCAACTGTCTTGTACATACCTTAGTTCCTTCTGTTTTTATACCTGAGGCTGCATAATTGATAAGGAAAAGTTTATTTGGCTCAGTTCTGAAGGCAAGCATGGCAGGTGGGGTTCTTCTCACAGGCAGAGGACTCGAGAGTCCTAAAGCAGTGCAGGGTGTCACCAGGTAAGGGGAGGGAGGAAACAGAGGGGCTGACCCACTTTGTAACAGCCTGCCCTTCTCCTGCGTCTGTGCAAATCCTGTCATGAGTCCCGGTACCTGAATCCCCCTCACAGTCCCACCAGCTTTCAACACCCAGCACTGCAGAGTTCCGCCTCCGCATGAGTTTGGTGGGACAAACCACAGCAGGAAGGATGCGGTAAGTTAATCAAGTGCAGGTAGTTGACAATACTAGGTAAGCTGGAAGTGTCCAGCCTGCTTCTCTTGAAGGCCCCTCAAGCCCAGCACTTTGCTGTTGGGGGCCAAATCGTTCTCTGCTGTGTCCTTCACTGTCGGGCATTCATCAGTGTCCTGGCCTCTCCCCCAGATGCCAACAGAACCACCACTGAGCGTGAAAACTAAAACAATCTCTAAACATTGTCACTGAAGGGTAAATTCATGCTGACTGAGAACTATGATACTATCTTTAGCCTTTCCCAGCAGCCCAGAAGTCTCATGACACTAGACATGTTTAAAACACTGTGCAACTGCAGTGTTATTCGGTGGCTGTGGTAACTCACGCCTCCACGTAAGGGCACACAAACTACACACCTGATACTTGTGCATCACTTCCATTAAGTGGAGTAAGTGTGCATCAAACATCAAGCCGTTTTCTATGTGTGACTCACCTACCACTCCCACACACCGTTCCAGTATCTAAAGCAAAGATGAGGAGAAACGTGAAGAGAGTTGGTAAGCAAGTATCTTAGACCTCATTAATGTCCACGCCTCATTGTGCAGGAGCACGTAAGCTGTGCTATTCCTCAAGATTAAATAGGCTTAAGTAAGGCAAATGTGCTATACATAGGCTTTAAGATACAATTAAGAAACAGAAAATAATTTTTTCCCTTAATTAAAAAAATAAATTTTAAAAAAGGGAGGAGATTGAGACAAAAGAGGACATAACAACATAACAATACAGGTCAGAACAGAACAATTTAAGCAACAGTGTTTCACCACAAAATAACCCGACTTTTTCTGATTTCCTATTAACTCGATTTGAAGCCCTGTATTGCTCTCACCATCTTGTTTTAACTGATTTTACTCTATTCTGTTCTGTTTGATAGTATCAATTTTGAGGGTATAGGCAACTACTTTGAAGGCAATAAGATTCACTATGATGCCCATTCTGGTTTATTATCTTCTTTTGAAGTTCTGTAATGTCTCCAATGTTTATGTTTTATTGATTTTGTTCTGTACTGTTTTGTTCAATTTTATTATACCTGATGATATAGGCAATTCTTTTTAAGGTAGCAAGAGGCATTATGGTAACCATTGTTGATTACTTTGTATTCTGTTTTTACATCACGTACTATGTCCATCCTTTGTTTTGACTGGCTGCTTTGTTTTTTGTCACATTGGATTTTATACTATTCCAAAAAAAAAAGTAGTAAGAACTGTGGGAGTAATAAAACCCAAAATGTGTAAATGTTATTGTAAAAAAGAGAGGAAAAGAAAGTGCTCTAAAGAACAAAACTGCAAGTGTGTTTAGGTATGTAAGATAGATGACCATATTACTAAGTTTTTGTTGGATCACTGAACACAACTGTTTGCAGTCTCACTGTTTGAATGTCCACTTTGTATGCTTAATTTTGTAACTTGATCAACTATTTCTAAGATGACAATATGTAATCTATTAACTAGCGATTTCTGTTTGTTTTAAATTCTGTATTACTTGTACACTTTTACTGTTTTGTTTTGTTTTGTTTTCTTTTCTTTAAATAAAAAAAAACAGAAAATAGGAACGTCAATTTTTATTGATAAAGCATGATTTCCTATTGATTACATAGTAAGGTACAATTAGTGATAATTAACAATGTTCCAAAGCTTAAAATAGCTTTCAGGATCACCTTGATCAATATATAAAAGCTTAGTTCTTGAAAAAATAAGGTTTTATTTCAGTGGTACACTTCTCATATGCAAAAGTTTCTCGAAACAAGAGATTTGTAAAGGAAATTTTATAAAGATTTCTCTGTACAAAAGAGATACTTCACTGTATCTAATGCACCATCCTAAAAATTCAACATATAAAGCCTTGAAGGACCAAATCACCACGCCATATTCCATTAAATCTATGAAAGATATCTTTTTTCTTTTTTTTTTTTCATTATTGCGAATTGAACCCAGAACCTTCATACTGAGCTACATCCCCCGGTCTTTATGTTTTACTTTGAGGCAGGGTCTCACTAAATGGCTGTTGCCCCGGCTGAGCTCTCACTTGTCATCCTCCTGCTGCTTCAGCTTCCCAGAGTGCTGAGATTACAGCCGTGCACCACAACAGCCAGCTTCGAAGATAAATCTTAAAAATCTGTGGGTAGAACACAGAACTGCCCTCTACCACAAACTCAATGAAGAAGAGAGGTAAATCTTGTGACAATATGCAATAGACTCTTACATCAAAACACACATCAGTACCATCCCTATTACAAACACCCATGTGTTAAGTGTCCTTTGACATGAGAAGTCTAGAAATCATCTAGAAAATGTTTATTTTACTGTATTAATAAGTGAAAGAAAAATTGCAATGTATTTTACAAAATGATGCAATGTAGCACTACCTTTTGATGAGGCATATGAAACTGGAAAATACCTAGAAATGGTTTCACAAGTCTATTCTCACTGACCTATACTTAATTTTAAAAGTGACATCTACTCAATTTTTTGAACAATGAAGAATAATGGCCCTCTGTTTTCAAATTAATAGTAAAAAGTAACTGCTCCTCAAACTATTCCCAACCTAACTTAAGGTATTTAATATTAACATATTAAGTTCTTAAAAAGTGCTATGCCTTAGCAGAATTTAAACACAAAGGAAAATGAAGAATGTACTCTTTTGGTCTAACAAAAGCCTCTACTGAGAATATAAAAGGTACTGATGCTTACCCAGGTGTAATCCATTTACTGGGGTAAGTGTCTCAGATTTACAATGTGCAAGAATTGATACTCCAGAAATATGTGATGATGCCTTGACCTATGACAGCCACTTGGCAGACTCAGAATAATTATAATCCTTTGGCTGGAGAACCTTGCCTAGAAGGTGTTTACAACATATTTTTATAGACATCAATAGTCAGTAGTTCCAATGCAGTCAGAAAAAAAGAACTCTAGATTATATGTCAGCAGGTTAATAAAATGGCTCTTTTGTTAAAAATTACAAAGCAAAATCAATTCCAATTTTTTAAATGTCATAAGGCGTCTAGAAATGTCAAATGAAATAACTGAATGTCAAAGTAAAGATAATTTGGATTATACTGCCAAACTACTAACAAACAACTTCACATGAGAAGAAATGACGGTTAGTTATGAGTTTCAAAAAGTACTATACCCAGGTTCAAAAAAAATAGTAGCAGAGAGTTATGCCTATATGTTCTCCCACATTTAGGATATGGTACCATATATAAGTACAAACTTCTAGGTAACAGCTGTACACTTGTATTTTGTATGAACACAGTGCTGCTAATTATAACGTAACTAAAATACTAAACCAAAGATAGTTTTTTTAGAACATTTTTAAAAAACAAAGCAAATAGAACACAGTAAAAGGAAGCATTTCATTGGACACATTTTCAAGAGCTCTCATTTCTTTTTTTAGCACTGTAACTAAAGGTAGTAACATGGCGAATCTAAATATAAACACGTCATTCTGTCCTAAAACTGTGAGGTTCCTACTTACTCCCAGTGTTCAGTCTGTGGAACCACTGGCCAATCAAAAACCAAAATGAGATAAGGGACAATGAAGAAATTTAAATGAGCTCATTTCAAGAAGCAAAACTGATGACATTCTCAGTGGATGAGTTTCAGCACAAGCAGACAAAAGTAAAATGATTTTTTATATTATTTCTCATAGCACGTGAAGAAAATAGTGTACACTATTACTTACTGCTCCCAGTGCACTGTATTTCTCCGTGTGCCTGTGGTCTTTCAATCCCTTCTTGGAGTGGAGCGCGTTCTCTGAGAAGCACAGAAGCAGTGGGGAGCGGCTGAGACACCCCTTTGGCCCCATGCACCACCAACTGACCTGACTAATCCTCTCCTCACCTCTGCTGCCTCCTCCTTACTTCTAATAGATGCATAATGAAAAGAGGTGAGTTACAAAGTACCTTTTTACCTAAAAATCTTAAGTACTATACCCAAAAAGTATATTTCAATCCTCGTTTTTAAATGAGGAAGTCTAAAACACAAACAATCTGTCTTCCGGTGGAATTTCCACCCTAGTGTTTCCCGATAAACAGTGCTAAGTTCACTATAAATTATTTAATACAGAACATAAGGTAGTGACAGTCACTACAAGGTTCTCTGGGCAGGCAGGCAGGGGGAATCTCTGCCAACACACATCATAAAATGATTCTACCTTCACAGAATTTCCAGAGAGTAAAGCCTGAGATCGCAGAACAGCGAGGACAAACATGACAAATGCCGTTTCTAGAATGAACTGTTCCTAAGGTGAAACAGATTGTTATAGTTTATATCTAAAATGCCCCCCAAAGCCTCATGTACTCATAGATGGGCTTTGGGGAGATGACTGTATTGTGGGTGTGTGTACTCATGACTGGATTAGCCCGCAGGTAGACCTGCAGCTGGGTATGATGTTGGGAGGTAAAGCCTGGTGGGAAGCGGTGGGTGGCTGTGGGGATATCTCCCCGCTTCCTTTTATCCTCCTTCCTGCCATGCCATGGGCTGTCTCTCCTCCACCATGCCCTCTGCTATGTCACCCTGCCTTGGAACCAGCCAACAATGGACTAAAATTTCTACAAATTGTGAGCTAACATACTAACATAAACCTCTCTTCTAACTTATAGGTGTTATGTGTTTTGTTCCAGCAATGAGAATGCAAGTAAGACACAGATAAAAAAAATTTTAAACTTTTCTCCAATTTAAAATAAATACATGAAAATTATATACTTGATATTTAACCACTCTCTTCATAGGCCACTCCCTGAGTTTCTGTTTTCTACAGAGAATGCAAGTATTAAAATATATAATGTTGATTGTTTCTACCTTGGTATCAAAATATCCATAAGCAATGTATGAACATCTATTCCAATATAACTTCTTAGAATTCACTATAATAAAAGTATTCTTTTTAAAATTAATTTTTAAAAATATAATTGCATATTTTAGTTTTCATAGACTTCTTTTTAAATAGCTAAAAAATACGTAGCAAACTCTTTGAGGCCCATGGAAATTATTTTCCCATGCCTACTTTGAGACAAAAATCCATGGAGTTAAGAAGCAAAATTAAACCACTCCCTGGATTTAGTTTTTAGAGTCCTTAATTTTTTTAATATCTAATGTTTGTTGACAGGCAAGAAGGAAAAAAGAAGAAAGGATGAAAAGGGAAGGAGCAGGAAAGGATTTTTTTTTAAGTCTCATCTCATAGGTATGTGAATATCTTCAGAGTACAGGGTGACCAATGAGCCAGATGCTCAGAATTCATAAATCTTCTTAAGGAATCATATTTTGCATCACATCACTAGACAGTGGCAGTCTGGTGCTCAGAGCCTTAAGCCTAGACAAGGTTCTCCAGAAGTCCAGGCCAACACTACAGCATTTCAGGTCAAGACTTCAAGTTGGCCCCATCAGCTCCAACTTCCTTCCCAGAGCACGTGGAGGTCACATGTTGTCAGAAACTTGTAGAGCACGTTCTTGTACTTCTGGTTCAAGCGTATTCCAGCCTCGGCCCTCTGTTCTCAGTCACATAAGGCACACGTAGCAGTGCTCTCTGACTCATGTGCCTGAAATATGGCTGGGTTTGGGGCTGAATACACTCTCCCCACTCTCTGAAAACCACATCACGCAGAAGAAGACAGGTCGCTTCTCATTCTCTCCAGGAGAAACAGAAAGGGTAGATAAAGGCTGGGGAGGTGATCTGACTAGAAGTGGAAAAAGACCATTCAACTTTTTAAAACTTGCCATCTACATTCTAAAAGAAAGAAACAATGTCCAATTCAGAAAGATACACTGAAACCACGGGGTGTGCATTAGATTGGAGGTAGGAAGAGAACAGGAGAAGCTCCTCCTGCTGGTTCCCGAAGAAATCCATCTTGAACGCTAGAGCAAACACTGATGCATACTAATGCTTGACGGCCTAAGACTATGTCTTTTACAAAATAGAAAAAATTTTTTAAAAACATTTTTAGACTGAAGAAAACAAAAACTTCCTTTAAAAAATCTTAAACAATTTCACATAGGGAAAATAAAAATACCCCACTGCAGTCATTCTGATCACACAAAGGCCAAGTGAAGAAATTACACCCTAAGACACGTTGTAAACCATCCCCTGACCCTGTGTAATGAAAATACCTTTTTTTTTTTTTCAAAATAGCCCGAGGTGATAATTCAACTATGAAAACAAAGCGATCGCGTGTGATTTCTGGAAATGTTAGTTTTACATGGAGTCCTTAAACAATAAATCACAGCCAGTGTTGCAAAGAGCACAGAAGCACAAGAGAAAAGACGAACAGGACTGAAGAAGGGTGATGGGGGTCTGAAGCTCCATCCTCACAAGGACAGTGGCCCTGGACGTCTTGGCAAAGGTCGCAGGAGGACAGCTTCACTCGGGAGTTGTAACTTCTCACCGCCTGCCTCCCTGTTCAGAGGCAGACATCAGTTTACACAGTGCCCATGTTTAGGCCACATTTGCCAAAATAAATGTAAGAGCATTTCAATACACTTTCATGAGTTTTTCACTCTTTGCATTATTTGACCTTTTCTTTACAAGAAATAAGGTGTCCAAGGGTGGCCTCAAGTGCAAATCAAATCCCAGAGAGAAACAATGCATTCAGCCCAACCTATCTATCACAAGCAGTTGGCCAGCACTACAGGGACCACATGGCTTGCAGATGCAAGCACTTTAATCTCTTCCTGAAACAGGAAAAATGCCAAACTGAAGACTGTTTAACATCTGAAACAGTTTATTTTAGGATGACATATTCTATACATTCACATAAAATTCTGATTATTAGAATTTCTGAAAAGAACTATTAATCATAGGCTTTATTTAAAAATACATATTCAAGAAAAAAATCTGTTTATGCAATGTTTTGTGTTGATGTTTTAACACACTGAGCACATACTGTCTAAAAACTACTCCATCTAAGTACAGTTACAGCACAAACTAATATTTTTGAAGTATATGGTGTCTATAGCACTATAAGAAAGTACAAGATAAAAATGCCTTTTAGTTTGCAATTTTTAAAAAGCACATTCTACTTTCAAATTTCTTTTCAGATTGTTTTGTATATCACAAATGTTTCTGAAATTTCAAAAATGGGTTAAAAGGCTTTATTTTATCTTTCCCATAATTCTATTTTTAAATGGCTCCTTCATAAATAAGTTGTTTTCCACAAAAATATTACAAATACTGAATCTTTCTCACTTCTTAAATATTTAAAAGGTTCACCATGCAAAAAGAAACTACTTAACTAAATACTATAAAAAATTTTAATGTTCTGCATATATCTAGAAAACGCCATTTGGGGACTTTTGTGCATCTAAAAATTACCATTTGAGGGATCCTGCAACTAGATTAAATAACAAAGCTGGATAACAAAGTACTGTCACAGAGTCTCCACAATGTATTCCATTACCCACCAGGAGAAAAGCACTATGTCTGTCTCCCAAGAACCTGGGTGGGTGCTCATCGCCAGCTGCAGCAGGAGGCCCAGTTAAGAAAGCTACACGCTGCCCTACTTCAAGCTTGAATACTTACTAAGCACTAGTAGCACAGTACACAAGCTTGTCTTGTTTTTAAGTGTAATTTTGTGGAGCTGTCTAACCCATGAATGCATTCTAATTCTGGACCACTTTAAGTGCTTATTCAAAGTCGGACTTACTACAATCAGCTACTTTAGCCCAGAGATCACATACTAAAAGTCACTCTCTGACTAAATACAGATCTCCAGACCACTTCTCTATTTGTTTTTCTTTTTTCTTTTTTGGTACCAGGAATCAAACTCAGGGCCTCGCATGAGACAAGCAGGCATGCCAGTTCTCTATTTCAACATCCTAAATTCTTATCATTTTATAAAATAAGCTACCAGTCAAATCGAAAAGCAAATTATCTTTAAGGACTACATTTTTCTTGATACACTAAAATAACATCTGTTATAATGTGCATGTTTTAGTAAACCACCAGATTCCTTCAATGCTGAAGCAGCCCACCCCCACGCCAGCCTATCCACCCTGCAGATGCTGCTCATCCCCCACCCACCACACAGCTCCCACTTGGCAGAAGGGGTCAGATGGAAACATTAACGGGCTTCTCCATGCCAATTTTCCTTGACAAATTGTAAGTGAAAACCTAAAACACTATGAGCAAACTATCACTTTTTAACACTCATATGCTAAATGTTACTATGTGACATTTATAAATGAATCCATAGTCTTCATTTAAATGGAAAGCTAATCTCCTGTATCTCCACCTCCTACACTTTCTCGTACCAACTGCCCCACAAACTAATCCAAACCACAAATGAAATTCAATTAAAAAATAATAATAATAAGGACAGGTATAGTAGCACATGCCTATAGTCCCAGCACTCAGGAGGCTGAGGTAGGAGAATTGTTGCAAGTTCAAGACCAGCTTAGGCTACAAAATGAGTTAAGACCAACCTGAACTACACAGTGAAACTCTGTCTCTAAAAGACAAGAATAATAATACTAATAATAATCCAATGAATAGATGGATAGATGGGTAAATGGATGCCTGGCTTAACTTCTGAAGTATTGGGAACTCTAGACCACACTTACTTGGTTCATAGTAATCCACTATGGATACTGAAGCATCTTGGGTATTTGACACTTTAAAGTTTCTCACAGCAGGAATATCAACACAAAACTGTGTTTCATTTACCTTGAAAAAATACAGAAGATTCTTAAGGAATTGGCATACCAAAGTTCAAAACAAAAGTGAAACACATTCCCTTTTCTTATTATTTTAGGAAACAGAAATAAACATTTATGGAGGATCTCTACATGCCAAGTACCACAGTAAGATTTTCCTATGAATTCTCTTATTTTAACCTGCAAAACAACCCTTCTAAGACAGGTATTGTTCATAGTTCCATTTTGCTCAAAAAAGGATATGAGAATCAGTTATTCAGTAAGGCATAAGCCCAAAGTGTGTGCTCCCAGGACCACGATGCCTCTCCCAGAGTCTGTCTTGGGTGGTGGACCCAACCTCTACCACTGGCAATGGCTCACAGAGCCTCTTCCCTAGGCACTTACCCTCTGCCTGTGGGAGCCACCTTAGCCTGCAAGCTAAGTAGCCCTGAATTGGGTTGGGAGGGTGCCCTGACTGATGTGGGGAACTGAAGGCCAGCCTCCCTGCCTCCCTGGGACAGTTCAAGTCAATCTGCAAACAGGATCCGTTAAAGGAATCAAAAATTTATGAATCCCTTCAAACATTCACTGCTTGCCCATAGTAGCATATAAAAAGTCAAAAACTAACCATTCAGAAGTCATTGGACACTCAAGATAACTATTATCAAGAATGATTAGATACAAGACAAACTCCCAAGGCAATTACATTACTAAATGAAACCTTAAATTTGTTTCTTGAGTTTCAAATCAAGTCCATGGCTTTCAAGTATTTAACTTATGAAAATTCTTCAACAGCAGAAGAATTGAAAGACTGAGTTAGTTTTAATAGGGCTTTAACCAGAATGCTTTTTAAAATGCTAAAATGAATAACACTCAGGGCCTAGCCTTTTAAAGGTAAAAAATTGGCAGTATATGGCTAACTCGAATTTAGCAAAAGTGGAATAAGTAACATATACCTCCTCCTCGGATACTGTGAAATCCTGAAAACACTTGGAATTCAACTTCAACTCAACCTAAGAGTTTTCACATAGCTGCTAGAGGGAAATAATAAACTTACATGCAAGCATGCAAGGACGTAACGATTTATGACAATAGTAGCATCTGTAATTCTTCACTGCAATTCTGCACCTTTACCTGATATATTCTTTGTGCCTATTCTTATATCACTAGCAACATTTTAGAAATGGCACAGGTACATAAAGGTTATATAATTGCTGTTTGTCACGACCAAGAGTCTGAGAACATTCTTCTACGATTTAAACACCTAATTTTCTGCGACAGGGACACTAACAATTTGAAGATACGTTTAAGATTTCATGAAAGCACTTTAAAGGCATTAAATTGTTCATCTGCAGCATTTAAGCAAATATGTTTAGCAATTTCCTGAGAGAAAGGGGCTTTCAAATTGATCTGCACTGAATTTATGAAATTATAAAATGGTACTTGCTCTATATTTTGTATCAAGCATGAAATTAGGACTTAAAAGTTATCAAGACTTTCCTCCAGCTCAGTACTTTCTTTCTAAACCAATTTTAGAGTGATGTCATTTTAGTGCAGACAAACAAGGTTACCATGTTAAAATCACTGAGAGACACAAAAACCTAATACAACAATCACTGAACGAAAACATATTTAAGATCGACTTCTGAACACAGTTAGTACTGACTTTATGGAACTTGCTTTTTACTACTTACAGAATCTAAATAGAGGTTGAGTTTCCCGTGATCATATTCCACTTTTTTCACTGTCTCACTCAGAGAAATGGTATCGGACGGCACAGCAAAGCCGCTGAGAAGGTTAACTTCCATGAGGGCCATGCCGCTTCTATCTGGGCCCAGAAACCTAAACCAAAGAGCAGAGGAAGGGAAAATATCCTTTAGGAAAAACCTAAAGCAGTTGGCAAATAGATCTTCATACCAAAATTAAAACTGCCAAATACTACTTGACTTCAAATAAAGTTCACTAAAGAAAATCTGACAACAGGTTTTCCTCTTCCAGTATGTATGATAGTTTTTCTGCAGCCGTATTAGGGGCAATGTAGCAGGGGGCTTGCTGGGCGAATAGAATGTAAGGCCACATGGTGACAGGTGCAGCAAAACGCCCTGTCAACAGACTTCCCAGTGTTTTGCAGTAATTATTCCAAAGCAAACCACATTTTTCATTTGCTCAAAAACTAACAGCAACAAACTTTCCAGCTGAAAACTAAAACTTGGAAAAGAAGCACCATGTGGCTACTCAGGGGAAGGCCCAGCCAAGTCATCAGCAACCTTTTCTCTGCCTGGTTTTAGGGGGACAAGATTACAGGTGAGAGGGTTCCCTTTGTTCTCCCACAGGCGTGGAGCACATTTTCTTTGGCGCCTTGAGAGAACCAGAGGCCTGGGAAGTGGCACTGCACTGCATGCCTCTTTGATCAGGAGGACCCAGGCACCAACATCACTTTGTCTCCTTGAGAATAAATATTCTGCTAAAATGAGTGAGTAGCAGAAGCCTGGTGTGCTTACAGGAAGAAGCGTCCTTCCAACATAAAAGGTTTGTTGCATTGTTATTTCTTGTCATCCTTTTAAATGTCAAAAGCAAGGACTGCTAGAAAATCTGGCTTCTTAGAGGTGACTACCATACATAACTGACTGAAAAGCCAAACGGCGGCTCAGCATCCAAAGCAACGGAAACCATCTGCTGGGCAATATCCACAGCCAGAAGAAACACTGCTCCAAGGTTAAAACTGGACTGGAACTAGAGGTGTCTACATGTGAGCACGAGATGCAGATGATTACTATTGTAAAAAAGAGAGGAAAAGAAAGTGCTCTACAGGATATAACTGCAGGTATGCGTAAGTGTGTAGGACTGATAACCATATTACTAGGTTTTTGTTGGATAGTTGAACAGAACTGTTTTCAGTATCGCTGTTTGAGTGTCCACTTTGTATGCTTTACTTGTGTAACTTGAACAACTATTTCTAAGATGACAGTATGTAATCTGATCAACTAGTGATGTCTTACTATTTTTTAAATTATGTATTATTTCTACCCTTTTTATGGTTTTTTTCTCATTAAATAAAATTAAAAAAAAAAAGAAAAGAGTTTCAGATGACAAGAACAGCCCATCTACCCTAAAGAGTGAACAGTATGATGCAATGGTCATATATATGTTAGCAAAATGCCTTGCTTGACCACAGGCACTCAAAAGACTGGTTCTCCTAGCCCAGGGCAGAGTTCATCAAACAGCATGACACACAGAAAAGAGTGTCTAGGGTTCAGTCTTGGACCCTGCTGATGGGAATAAAGTACCTGAAATATTATACAACCCTTTTTATGAAGTTCCACTAAAAAAAAAAAAATCACTCAATGTTAATTTGGGTTTTATATGAGATTTTGCTCAGGAAACTAGTAATAGCATTTAGAATTCTCTTATAGTCTTTACTGTATAGAAAGGCATTTAATTTCTGCCCCTCTCCCTTAACTAGTGTATGGCCTGCCTGACCGTGAAGCTGGTTACAATTAAGAACATTCATTGCTACACGAGCCCTGCGGCCATGATGAGACCTCTGTGTGGGCCGAACCTGGTCCTACATCATCTTCCCCAGCTGTTTCTTCATTCGACTTCAAAAGAAGTAAAACACGCCCTCTCACAGTTTCATGACGCTCTTCCTTTATGACCTTTCAAAGCCAGAATTTTAGACTTGCTTAGAGGATTTTCTTTCACTCCAGTCAGTGAATTCAACGAAGGCAGGTCCATGTCTTCTTGGGCTTGCAATTATATTCACACCTAAAACTATGCTGGCACACAGAGAGAACTAGCCAACATTTATTGTGTAAGTGGATGAATGAATGCAAAAGGCAAGGATAATAACAGGACTTCTCTATAGATTTCTCATAAGGTGTAAATGAGATGTATGTGAAATGCTCTGTACGGTGTTTAGCATTTTAATTGACGATAAATGTAGGTTACTGCTGCTGACAGTAACCACCTGATACTGTTATTCTGCAACCTCAGTGAGGTTTAATGGGAATTAAATTCAGCAGAAAAGGAAGCCACTTCAGAGATGCTGATATCTCCCTGATGCCTAACTGCCCAAGAAGGTGAGAAATGGGGCAAACACCTGTCCTAAGGTCATGAACAGAAAGGTCCAAAGGCAGGATGGATGAGAGCAATAATGGGGGAGACTGAGTTTAGCCATGGCTAAGAGGGTGGCACCTGGATGAACACCAAAACTACCTTCAAAGTTCAAGACCACACTAGTGACTCCCTGCCTACCAAAGCTACATGCAGCCATAATGCAACACGGTATCGGAAGGAGCAGACAGCAGCTCCACAGTGTTCAGCCCATTCTAGTACAACCCTGAGCTGTGTAACCCAGCAATCTGATGCAAGACCACAGACAAACAAGGAAGCAGTTACGAAGCATCCCAATGATTCTAGAACTCTCTCAAAGACTTTTTCTCAAATGTGTGTGTGTATTAAACAATCACACCGAAACAGGCAGGCACCTTCACAGCCCTTCATTGAAGTCATAGATCTGACAAACAGCCTCTTTCCCTGGTGATACAGGAGGCTTAGATGCCTGGGATACAGGCCAAATTAAGAACTGCTTTCATAAGTACTTCTAGAAGTTTCAGTTGCCAGAGTTTAAGTGTCTTAGATGTCATACTAGAAAACTTTCTGTATGTCTCAAAAGTCATTCTCTGCATTAAGCATACATAAGATTAGACTTTGGGTCAAAAGCATAAAAGTTAAGCTTAAATCTGAACTGGAATGAAATTGTTTCAGCAGAAAAGTAGCTCATAAAAAATCCATTTTGGAACATTAAAGGTGACTGCTAATTTAAAGTTTTCCTAGGGGGCGGGGATATAGCTCAGGCACACAGTACCTGCCTGCCAAGCATAAGGTCTTGAGTTTGAGTCCCAGTACCAAAAAATAAAGTTTCATAAGCTAGACTTGAGTTTTATTAACTTGAACAGTTTGTGTTTTTCTCTCTCTCTTCTCTTCTCTTTCTCTTTCTCTCTCTCTCTCTCTCTCTCTCTCTCTCTCTCTCTCTCTCTTTCTCTGGGTTTTTTTTTTTTTTTGGTACCAGGAATCAAGCTCATGACCACATGCTTGCCAGGCAGGCACTGTGCTGCTGAGCTACATCCCTGCATCTCTGGTACCAATTTTTCTTTTTAAATGTATTATACATATGAGGAAAACTTGTAAATAACTTTGGGCATGTTGAAGAAATGTGTAAATATAATTGTAGTATTTCTAATCCACAGTCTAAAGTATAATCCAAAATTAAATTCTCTATTAAATATTACTGCATTAATTATAATTTGATGGTGATACATAACTAAATCCTCAAATTTACTATTTAAAGAAGGAGGAAGGAGAGAAACCTACCTTGTACACACATTCAAATTTACATGATTGACATCATTTTCATCATCTTTTACGTTAACATCTAAATCAAAGGCTTCTTGATTTTGGGTTGATCTTCGTCTTCTAACAGACCCTGAATCCTTCACATTATAAACAACATTGAGCTGCAATAAATAACAAATTAGCAATAAATTACTAATAATAAATTGCCACCACTGGGCAGTCTAAATACTAGTCAATGATTCTAACTGGAATAAATCCAATTGAATTTATAATATTCAAACTAGAAAAGAATATAGTTGCATTGGGTAATAATGCATCATTATTATAAAATACTGTAAGGTTTATAAAAAATTATTTTTAAAATTGAGCAAACTGGTAGGTAATATTCCAAGTAAGTATCATGAAACATTGTAAATGATATTCACAGGATATTGTTTTTTTTTGGGGGGGGGTGTTGGGTTTTGTTTTGTTTATTTTGAGACAGGTTCTCACTACATAGTTCAAACTGGCCTTGTCCTCACTATGTAACCCGGTCACTATATGACCTTGAACCCATGGCAACCCTCCTGCCTCAGCCTCCCCAGTGCTAGGTTTATAGGCAAATGCTACCACCCCTGGCTGGTTTTTATAAGGAACATGAAACATGGTTCTCAAGGGGAAAAGAAAGTGACTGGCAACTTTGTCAAGAGCAAATGCCAACCTCTAATCTCTGCCACCCAAGTAAGTGATTTTCAACAAACTGGAGCTTCAGTGATTCTCTGCAAAATAAATTACCACTAAAATATCAATCGCTGAGGATTCATCACTGAATGCTTTCCAAAGATGATAAGAGAATGAGAGCTTTCAAGTCAACTGGTTTGTCCAGCACACACTGTCATCACACTGACATGAGAAGGGGACACAGCAGTTGCTGGGAACCCCAGGGTGCACGAGGACTAGGGTCATACAGAGTGACCCTAAATCAGACGCTTGCGTGTGTAACCAGAATTTACTAGACTAGCCTCATCCCAGGCTGGGGTGGAACCCATTAAAGGCTTTACCTCATCTACTATTTTTGATTCCAGGTGCATAAAGTTAAAAACTGCTGCATAACACTGTTCTTTCTTTTACCTCTACTTAAAACACGCGCGTGTGCACACACACACACACACACTCTCCTCCGAAGTAAATATCTAGCACCTTCCGTACATTGACACACTTTTAAAACCCTCTGAAACTCAATCTAAGAGTTCCAATCTTTATATTCTGCCACAACCCATATTCATATTATCTTTTATCCAGCAGATCATTGTGTTTATCTTACTGTGGACATTCTCCAGCTCTTTCTTAAACCATAAAAATTATTAATTTTAGAAATAATTTAAATTATTCCTGGGGCAGGTGGAGAATAGTTCTATAAAAACTGAAGAAGTGTAATCTGTTACTGCAATCATCTCCTTTGTAGTGAAACTTAAGGACTACTAGTTTGTCCCTTGGGCCATAATTAATACCCATTCACAACTACACAACAAGGTTTCTGTCTGGCCCACAGTAAAGCTCAACTTTTCCATCACAAAACTTCCAGAGATCTTGCAGATTATTTCCAACAGCTTAACATTTTATTACCCAAAAGTGGTTAACATCTACTGCAAACCTGAGAGTTTTCTTTGCCTTCCTTTTCCCCATACACTTATAAAAATACCACCCGAGGAAAATCCATTACCCATTTCTGGGTGACCAACATTTTTGCAGTTCTTTCCACCATGGTGAGAAGTGCCCATTGGTCCCTCTGTTTTCTAAATTTCAACGCAAACCTGGGATTTGCAAACATTCCGATTCATGGGTATCACATTCACTCCAATGTCCTTCAAACCCCAAGCAACAATCATTTACTTCCAGTGATTTTTCTACATTTGGTTTACCAAAAATATATTCTAGACAACTTGGTGAGTCATATACATATGATTTTTCAATTGTATTTAAAGTATACTATATTTTGGATCTAAAAGTCTTGGCATAAAAAAATAAATAAAGTATACTATATCTTTACTTCTGGGTTTACTCTTCATTAAAAGCCTGGAGACAGTAATTTCCCTATGGTCTTTGTTAGTAAAAACCAATACAATATATTTCCTCTTTCTATCTTTTTCCTAGAATCTGTCTCGTTTTCATTATCACCATTTTCTTGATCTTTAAGAGTATTTACTGTTATTTGAATATCATGCAAAACAATCAGAATTATTTGAAAGTTTCCAAATTAGACTTCCTTAGCAAGGCATACCTGACCTGGTAAGGCACCAGTCTCTCAACTAGAAGATCTGTACCAGGTTTGGAAAAGCCTATCTCTACAGTGGCCACTTCGGTACTTGAGTCAGTGCTTTGATCTCTGTTTAGTTTTTGGTTCTGTTTGTTTTTAATGCCCAAGTACATAATCAGCTTTAGTCCTTCCACATACTATTTTGGATTTCCAGGAGGATTATTATTCCAGCAAGTATTTTTATACTACTTCTGTTTTATTGTTACTCCTACTATATTATAAAGTGTAGTTTTCTTTGGATTGGCACTGAACACATTCACATGCTGCTTTATTTTCTATCTTATAAGGTTTTATATTAAAGGAACACATTTTCTGTCTCCAAGACAATAATTTGTAAGGTCACAATAACATTTATATTCTTAGATAAATATTGAGAATTTGTAAGTAAAATGTATATTTGCTTTTCAGTTAATAGAACTCTACAAGTATTACAATTTCTGAACTTATTTTTATACACAAAAAGTGACAGTCCCAACTGTCACTTGAAGTAGATTTCAACCACTTCAAAAAGTACATAATCTCCCAAATATATTTTCAGATAGGTTATCAATATATATAACTGCTGCCTACTCACTAGCTGGTAACATCTCTAATACTTTTTGTTGTTATTTTTTGAGACAGGGTCTCACTGTGCACTCCAGGCTGGCTTCAAACTCATAATGAAAGGGGCTGGGGATTTAGCTCAGCAGCATAAGCACCTGCCTTGTAAGCAGGCAGTCGTGAGTTCGATCCCTGGTACCGATAAAAAAAATGAAAAAGACAAAAAAAATAAAAGAACAAACTCATAATGACCCTCCTGCCTCAGCCTTGTGAGTGCTGGGACTACAGGTATGACCACCATGCTCAGCAGGTCTACTACTTTTTATTAAAGAGAGTACTTTTTATTAAACAGAGTAATTTATCTTAATCATAAAAGTATATCACTAAAGATTTTATATAAATTTTCTAAGGTAGAGATTTAGCAGTGCCCTAAAACAAAGAATTATTATAAAAAGTCATGTATAACTGAAAAAAACCAGCATTCTTACATACCTGACAGATAGCAAATCCAAAACCATTTGCGGTTATATCAACTGCAGCTAGCTGCGTCACAGCAAGCTGAAGAAAAATGAGAGAGAAGAGTGCGTGAGGGCAGTTTTCCATCTTTAGATCCTCCCAAGTAACACAAGAGAAGAGGGTCACCCTCATTAGGGGGAAGAAGCTCACAGCGAATGCCTGGAGCTCTGTAGTTTACAGGTCAGATCCCCAGCGGAGCAGTCAAGAGAATGAGGGCCAACAAGAGCGACCTCTCTGAGCCGCTCATCTCTGTCCTCCATCAGCACTACTCACCGCGCGTCCTCCTACTGAGGCCCAAGCACAAGGGATACAAGACAAAAGCCACACCCTCCCCAGCCTCCCTTAGTCAGGGCTGGCCCCCGCCTCAGACCGTGCCTGGCTTTTCCTCCTTGTCCTCTGCCATCACCCTCTTCCTCAGTTTCGAGCCTTGAAGTTGTCCCCTTCCCCCATTGTCTCATCTCCCCGAAGTTTAGCTAAGAGAATAAAGTAATCAACTAGCAGATTCCCTTATTGCACTTTAAAGCGAGAATCCTACTACTGCTTCTATCAACTTTTTTCAGGATATGTGGTGCAGCTAGAAGCATGACCTTCAGCAAGTTCCCTGCCTCTCTGTCTCAGTTTATGTCAACAATGACGAAAAAAGTATTTGCCTTAGAGTTGGCCTGAGAAGTAAATGTAATTTCTTATCTACAGTGTAATTTCTTATCTAGCATAGTGGTCATGAACAGGAACTCAGTGGGTGTTTATTCCCATCCCAGTGTAAAAGTGTCCGTGTTTTCTCCTTTCCACCAGTCTTTCCAAAGTTCTCATCTCCTCCACCCATCCTGAGATCGGCAACCTCAACCAGAGGAGACCGTCCCCAGTCCTCCCTGCCTGTCTCCCTACAGCTCTGAGAACAAGTCTTTGTTCAAGTCACTAGATTGGGAAGAAAGCACTGCAGGAGGCTGGAGCAGGAAAATCACAAGTTTAATCTCCAGTACCAAGGAAGAAAAGAAGGAAGAAAGGAGAGAAGGAAGGAAGGGAGGAATAAAGGAAGGGGAAAAAAGAGAAAGAGAAGGAAGAATTCCAGTATAAAGACCCTCCACATAGAATTTTAAATAACAGTCATTTTCCATACCTCTGCTGTCTGAAAGAGAAAGCGGTTGTGTGTGTCGATCAGAAACTTCACAGGACGTGGTGCACTGGGCCCTGACACCGTCACTTGGATACCTTTTGTTTCTGTATTCATTAGGACCGCAAATTCGGACAAGGCTTTTAAGGCCACGATGGTGTCCTGTTGAGAGAAAAAACCAGTTGTGCACACAGTGTATATCAAAATCTCTCAGGAGCAAACTCAGTAATATCTAGGACATGCTCTACACCCACCACCTCAAGATCAGACCCTTCCTGGAGGTCCCCAATTCCTCCATGCAAAACACATGAGAAGCTCTGCCTGGGGACCTGAGCATCCACTTTAAATCAGTTCCACAGGTGCCAAATAGCTATAACAGATGGGGACCCAAGTGACTCCATGTGAGTATCAGACAGGAAATCCACATGAGAAAAGTTCAGACTATCACCTTAAATCCTAAGTTACTCAACTTTAAACTGCTAAGTAACTTTATGAAGTCATTAAAAAAAAAAAAAAGTATGATTCCTAAATATTCATGAGTCAATAGTGTAAGTGGGAAAATCAACCGCGTCTCTCACCTGGGTGGATACAAAGCCCCCCAGGCTGGTTCTCTTCCTGCTGAGCCACCTCATAACAGGGAGGCCTTGGGGAGCCTGGCGCTGCAGGAAGTGGGAGAGCAGGGCATAGGCCGCCACCTCAATGTCCAGGGAGCGTGGCTGCCAGCCCTCGGACAGCGTAGATGCGGGTGACACCCAGAAACGCTCACCTCCTGAAGAAGAAAGGTAACAGCATTCAGTCAACATTAAACAGCCCTCCAGAGCCAAGGCCTCGCTGACTTAGATGAAAATACATTTTATCTGTGCACACACATAGGCCAAGCAAGGCTATGAGTATTCGCACACACCACATGCACCCGTAGGAACATGCACTTATATGTATGTCACTTTTCAAACTACTACAACTTAACAAACTTTCATCCTCTTTCTATTGCCTGTATTTGAGAATGTTTTAATTAAAATATTTTCCCAAGATAAATTCTATATGTCTGCCTCAAGCAAAACAACCATAAATGAAAAGTACTGTATTTCAAACATAAAGTGTATAGCTTCTCTGAGCCAGTTATCCCCAAAACAGTTTAGGACACATGAGAAAGAACCTTGTCATCGGATCTGCCACTAACCAGCTCTCACATTCCCACCAAACTGCTCCCTTTTTCATTGTCTGAAAGATGAAGTTATAAGTGCAAAATTCAAGCACTCCCTCCCCCACAAAAAACCCTGAGGGACGCTAGCCAAGTCGCCAACCTTCCTGGACATAATCCCATTCTGGCCCCAGACCAGCATCCCATGTGGCATCCCCAGGACTTCAATGGCAATTGCACTTGAATACAATGTGACATTCCATGAAGTCAAGGATCACTTTGGTTTCTGCAGTAATCCTCCAGTCTTCAGCACTGGGATATGGAACAAGAATTCTGTCTAAATTCCTGTTAATATCAATATAGTATTTCCGATAGCCTCACACTTCTCAGCACTTTCTACAGTTACTCCTTAAATGAACAGAACTTTGGATCAGAGAACATCATCAAAAGCCTCTCTCCCTCTCTCTCTCTCTGTCTCTCTCTGTCTCTCTCTCTCACTCACACACACACACACACACACACACACACACACAAACCTGGACCCCTGGCTACTTTACCAAGATCACTGTGGGAATAACTATACCTGTCCTTTTTGTCCTTTTGTGACATAAAAGCAGCTCCCATTTAAAAAAAAAAAAAAAAAAAGATTCTCACACACACTTTATTTAGTGTACTGTATTTAGTAGCAGCAGTGTTTTTTGACATTTGCATTTCGCTTCTATTTTTAAGCGTTTGCTATGAGGCAGGCTTTGCATATTATCTTATTTAATTGTCACAGCAACCCTAACATAGGTGTTACTCCACTTTACAGCGGAACTGAAACTCACAAAGGCAAGCTGCAGAAACAGAACTGGAACCCAAATCCTCCAGAACCCAAGGTCTCAGGGAGCACAAAAAGCTATCAAATCAGAAATGGTATCAGGGGCAGGGATACAGCTCAGTGGCACAGTGCCCGCCTGGCATGCGCAAGGTTGTGAGTTCAACTCCCAGTACCCAAGAAAAAAAAGAAAAAGAAAAAAGAAATGGCATCAGAACCTCAAAGAGTCACTGTGTAGGACAGAAAGTGTCTTAAAGAAGGAGGCTCTTAGTTGTGCAATTCTGTACAAAACTCCTCAGGAGCTCCAGGCATCAGAACCCACTGGCCCTCCTGATCTCCTTCTACTGTTCATTTTTCATCTCATTCCAAACACATAATACAATCAACTCCATACCTGGCTAAAGAGTCTAACGACCTCAGCCGGTCCCTCCTTTACCTTCCTCCTCTGCGCGCAGGCTCAGCACTCTCAAAGCCTCCGCCGCCTTAGGACTCCCCACTGAGGACAGTGCATGCGTTACCAGGGCCAGAGTGTAATTGTCTGAAATTCCTTGACTGAACTTGGACTCCAAAAAGCTGATGGAGTCTCGCACATCAATATTAGGCTTGGAAGAAGAAGATACATATTTTATTATTCAAAAATACCCATTAGCTTGTGTTAAAATAAAATGTACTTTTCATTCAAAAAATAGAGCATTCACTCAAAAAGTAACTTCAGTGTTTGTTAAACACCTACCTGGCTCCAGGCCAATGAAATTCACAGCACACACTGATATTTAAAGAGTTGTCATGGATTTTGAAAATAATACTGCTCTTCAGTTACATTGAAACAAGACCCATTCCTCAGCTACAGTACGGTATAAAAAGTAGATTTTGCCATTGTTTATCTCATTGAGTACCATTAGCTCATATGAAGGCAGAAAAGTAGCTTGAAGAAAAGATTATGCATATTTAATCTCAGATATTTAATCTCTACATTTAGAGAAAAGTTCATTTTCTGTGAGCCCAGTGCTGGGCTAGTAAAAGCTTAGTGGAGAGAACGAACTGTTGACCCTGTGAAATGTAGGTGAAGTAAACAGTAAGGAATCAAATACTGAAATCAAATCAGCTCTGAAACAAAATTAGAATTGTGAGCATAACTTTCCGCATACACTCATCTTGACCTCGGCATCCATGCCCATGAACCAGGCTTTGCAGAGAGTGAGGGTACCTTGCACTAAATTAGTGGACACTGCAACTGTTCCAAGATACTGTAGAAATGTAAAAAGCAACTCCTTCACAACCTCAACTTGCTGGAACACATTCTTGGGATAGAAGACAGGGTGTGGCAGAGCTGGCCGAGGGAAAGGAGGGGGACCTATCAATTACAGGACTCCAGGGCAACGCCAGGACAGCTGCTCATGATTTCCCCCAAGCTGTGGTCTGCAAACAAGACAAGCGGCCATCACAGTAAACCCGTTTTGAGTTTCCAGGATAGCACAGATGGAATGTACTTTGATTTTTGCGTTTACTTTCTTTTTCTTTCTTCAGTCCAAATTCACCTTACAGAGTTGGTTTCTCCCATACCCACTCAGCCCTCACTGTTCAAATAAATGTTTGGCACCACTTGTCTCATCCAATGCTTTGTTCCAAGCAAAATGGATCAGGGACACTTTTGATTGATAGTTATTTCTAAAGAAACTGCCCTATAACATTCTCAAACTCTGAAAAATCATCTTTCCTCTAAAAATAATAAAGTATGTCTTGACTTCTACTACCAATAAAGGTACAATACCTATAGTACAAAGCATTTTGGAATCCTCTTATTACTCTAGGAGAGTGGGTTAATATTCTTATCCTAGCTTTTGCAATGTGACCATAAATACAAAGCAGAAGGTACCCAAATTTCAAATAGATTTCAAATGCAATGCAAAACCCTTTAAAAGTTTCCAGGGCCAAGCATTATGACACACACCTATAATCCCAGCACTTGGGAGGCTGAGGCAGGAGGACTGCTGTGAGTTCAAAGCTAGCCAGGATTACAAAGTGAGTTCAAGGCCAATCTGAACTGCACAGCAAAACTCTGTTTCCAAAAAAAATTTTTTTTCAAGTTTCCAGACAAATATTTGGCCATCAAGATCTGCCTTCCTAGACTTTCCCACTATCACTTACTACAAATGAAGTACCTGATATTTTCTGTATCCCAGGAGAGAAGTCACAATATAGGCTGTGAGTGTCACTGGACTATTATTGCCACCCTGAAGGTCACTATGGATCACTCTTCCTGGCTCCCAAAATTCACCACTGGATTTCTGATGTCCTTTCAGCCAATTATACGTTCTGTGTAGCACATTCGGATCAATATCTATGTAAGGATCGGCTTCAAGGAAACATCTTAAAACAAAAGCTGACAACCTTGGTGAAAGGGAGAGAAATACATAAAATACACATTACAAATACACTCCAAATTGGTACTGAGCAAAAACTTCCCCATCAGAAAACTCACCAAAGGTAGAATCTGAAAAAGTATAAAAGAAGAAAGACAACACAACACACAGCCTAACAGATGGGCCTGGTTCCACTTGAGCCTGGCTTGGGCTTTCAGGCCCCCTCCAAAGATCAGATTTGGAAAGGAAACTGGAAGTCATCTAATCCCACACCATTCTTGTATAGATTGAAAATGATGTGACACTCCAGGAGAGTTAAGTAAGTTGTCCAAGGTTACTCATCTTTAGACTGTTCTAGCCATTTGCCAAAGGAGATTCCCACAAAGGAGATTCCCATATACTTTCCATTCAGCCCCAAAGCACAGACGAAGAATACACAGTTTACAAGCAAACTGCCGCGCTTCAAGTGAGGAAAATGGGTACTTTTCTTTCCTACAAGACTATACTCTGTGAGCCAAACCTGTCTAGCTCAGGGCATATTTATATGTGCACCAACCCCCCAACAGCCAGCAATGATTTCCAAATGGAGAAAACAATGAAAAGGGGGAAAGGATGGGAGTAGAGAAACAAGCAGAGGGAAGGAGAAAAGGAAGTAAGGGAGCAGGAGACAAAAAAGGATTCTTAGATTCTTTCTGGTCCAGTGCGTCTGCAGTATTGAGCATCTGACCCTTCACAGGAAAATGTTTGCTAACCTGATGAAAATGTATAATAAAGTGCAAAGAATTGTTAAGCAATGAAACCAAAGAAACCTTTCTGTCTATAGATCCATATACTGACTTCCTGACATGAGAAAATTTGAAGCAGATCTGTCTCATAAAACGCTTAGTGTGGTAAACATTACGAGTACTCTACAATACCGGGTTCTCTTTTACTTTTGTTATGCAGAGGAATTCACATTCCTGGCCCCCTAATGTTAGACACAACCATCTGAGCGTCTGTGACAATGATAAAGTGAGTCTAAAGCCCCAAATGCCAGTGCCAGATCATTCAGGCTTAGCTTCAAGGTTGTGCTGCTGGAGCCTCCTGCTAAGAAGGGGTGACGGCAGCTCCATAGTCACAGACTGCAGTCTCTCTATCCACCTCCACTGCAATGCAGCATGGGCCAGAAACAAACTGCTGTTGACATGCTGCTAGGATTTAGGAAGTGCCTGTCACCTCCAGCACACCTAACACAGACTGACAGAGAGTTAGTGCTGTAGTCTGGATCCTGAATGTCCCCCAAAGGTCCACAGAACAATGCTTTTGGAAGGTGGTGGGGCCTTTGGGAGGTTACCCTTGTGAGAAGTCCTTCGATTACTGAGATGTGCCTCCCGGAGGTATCTGGGGATCCTAACCCCTTTTCTCTTTCTCTTTTCTTTTCCAGCCACGGGGTTAAGTGGTCTACTCTGCTTTGGCTCCTGCCATAATGTGTGACCTCACTCCAGGCCCAAGCCAGCAGGGCCACTGACCGAGTACTGGGACCTCAAGTCAAGTTTTCCTTTGTAAGTTGATCACCTCTGGAATGCCACCCAAATGGAAAGCTGATTGACACTTTTGGCCAATCTGACTCTGGAATATGAAACTGAAGATGGTGGTTACTTAGAGATTCCATTCGGGACAAAGCTCTGGACGCTTACTGCATAATTCTATCACTGTTTGGTTGTCAAATAACACAACTTTAAAGAGACCACACAGACCAAAATAACAAAACATCAGCCCTCACAACATCAGGAAATGTGGAAAAAACAATGTCACAATGACCAGTTTTCCTTATCAACTCCACCAACATCATAAAGTATTTTTATCACAGCTTCTCCCACAAACAAAAGAGTAATTATGATTTGAATTTCCTAAGCAAAAATCACTTGATGTGTTCATGTTTCAAAATCATGCTTTTTAAAAAATTATATTTTAAAAAGATACCTTTTACCAGGGTATGGTAGCACATGCCTATAATCCCAGCACTCAGAAGGCTGAGGCAGGAGGATTGCGCAAGTCCAAGGCCAGCCTGGGCTCCATAGTGAATTCAAGGCCAGCTAAAATAGTTGAGATACTGTCTCAAAACACCAAAAATAAATAAATATCTTTCAAAGCCAACTACTGGAAGAGCAGCTGCTATACCTATAGATGGTGCCATGTGTGTCACCTTCATTGTCACTAAGATCCAAAAGAAGCTCATTCCACTATGCAGATCTGACTGTCAAAAACACTTACCAAGTGCTCCCAGAAGGATCACTATTCCCAAATGCACTGAAAGAGCCATCGTCCCTTTGATAGAGAAGTTCTCTCTGGTAACCTGAGAACACAAAAACTGATATTCAGTGGAATCCCTGTGCCATGGATGGAAATTTCTAATAATGGCTTCATACTGAGGAAATATGCGTAGAGAGAAGGGGAAAGAAATAAACATCACCACTTAATTCTTTATGTTACATGTCATAGCAAATTTAAAACACCAGCACTTTTCAAACAGCAACCAAAAATAAGAACTGTCAAATCCCCAAATTAAACTCAGAATACTATTGCATTGATGACACTCTTACTCTTCGAAAGCAAGCAAAATAAAGGCAAAGTTATACTTAACTCACCAATGTCCCACAGTGGTTTCCATCCCCACTCACCTAAAACTGCTTACTGCCTGAGAAAACTACTAATTATGGTATAATAAAGTTTAAGGGAAAATCAGAAAGTAGAAATATTTTCTATGGTTAGGCCAGCAATAGAGGGGCAATGTTGACATATTAAAATAAGTTCAAACCCTAGCATCCCCTAAAAATAATATAGTACAATAACTTTCATTCAACACTGATTAGATGTTAAGAACTGTTAAAGGTCGTTTTCAGGTATTAACTTAAGTAATTCCCATAGCAATCCTAGATGCAGACGCAGATGCAGATGCAGATCCCCTTTCTGTCAATAATGAGACTGGTACCCAGAGGATACACCATGTGCAAACACCATGTGCAAAGTTACACAACTGATAGGCAGTGAATGTAGGTCAGACAAGATCTGGTTCTAAAAACAGTCTTCAAGTGTTCAGAGATCTCTTTCTACTATTTCTATATGAATGATCCATCTTTTTACTCATCTGAGGCAATCAGGGATCACAAGGAAGCAGAATAATTTCCTAATATTGCACACACTCAAAAAGCAAAAAGGGCTCAGACAAACTCCTTCTGAAATTTGAAATGCAGAAGGCTGTTAGAATAATTATCCAGAAACTGATGTTTATGAAGGGTCACATAAGATGCATAACTTCCTTGGGTTATGAATTTTCTTTAGACTAACAATGAATTTAAAATCTTTAGGATTTACCATAATAAAAGGGAAAATATTGCTTATAAAAATAATTCAAAAAGTAACATTCTGGGGCCGAGGATGTAGCTCAGTGGTAGAGCACTTGACTAGCATGCTTGAGGCTCTGGGTTTTCAACTATTCTTGGTCAAAGTTTCTCTTGAAAAACTGAGCTTGCAGGCACTATGCTTCAAATAACTGAAAAACATGAGATTTAATTCTTTAATTAACAGTTTCAGGATTTTTCAATCCTTATCAGAAACATTTTTTACTTTGGGTTCTACCTTTTTTTAAACAACAAAACATATTTCATTCAAAGATGTAACTGTTGCTTTGACCAAAACACAAATGGGTTAGGTTACAGGGTTCCTGGGCCAAGTTATGAGTCAAGTAAACAGTGTGCTACTCATAAATGACAAATAATATAATATGACTCATACTAAAGCCACTTTAATTTCTTAAAAAATAAAAGCTACATTATATTCAAAGAACTTTGCCAAATGTTATGGCAAAAGAAAATAGTAAGTCTGTGAAATGAGACACTCATTTCATAATGAGAAGGGTCCTCATAGGAAACTTTTGCACCATTCTGAAATGTACTTTGGTTCAGCAAGTGAGGTGTTGTATTTTGGGGAGCTTCATTTTGCTGACTTTCAACAGCCACTTTGCCAGCTCCAAAGGGACCACACTGAAGCCACCGCAAATGTTTTCTGACTGATAGGAACATGCCAATGGAAGGTGGAATCATTAGTGTCTGCTCATAATTGAAAATAAGACCTGAAGATGGAAGACGTTTGTGCTTAAAACTCACCTATCCACTCTGCACACACTGAGGTACTCAAACAAGGATGCAGCAATGAGATGAACCAGGTGCGTGTGCACACACACACACACACACACACACACCGTCAGTCAAGAGCTCCCTTCCAGTGCAGTGCCCAACACAGATGATGATCTTAACGTTAAGTGAAGAATTGAAGTGATAATGTAAATAAAAGTTACTAAAGAGAAAGGCCCATCAAGGCCACTATGAGGAAAATAGTACCTGACTCATGAAAAGACGAATCAGGCATGACACTCACCTGTGTGATCTCAGCACTCAGAAGGCTGAGGCGGGAGGATCTTGAGGTCAAGGCTATCCTGGATTACAGAGGAGATGCTGACTCAAGAAGTGAAAGGAAAAGGAGGGGAGGGCTTTGCAGAAGTGGCTGAATCTAGAGCGGGTGGTGCTGGCATCAAGTGAGTGTGATTAGGCAATCAGTTCAGTTTGTCTGGCACAGTTCTGGCAGGGATTAAGGGTGTAAGTGCCACCCCCACCCTGGGGCAGGTAGCCTGCACACATTATAAAGGACAGAAAGAGGCTCATCTCCACCTTTTCTGTTGCTTGTGCTGTTTCTCTTCTGTGATTCCCCTCTGCCATGTGCCACCGTGTCTTGGAGCCAGTCGATTATGGACTGGAACCTCTATAAATTGTAAGCCAAATAAACCTTTTTCCTTTAACTTTGGGTGTTGGGTATTTTATCTCAGCAGTGAGGAAAGTAACTAAGACAGGGTCTAACCACCTCCCGGGGTTGAGAGGCAGCCCAGAGCACACAGGGCCTGGCACTAATTCGAGGAAATATAACTCTCTCTCTTCACATCAGAACTCAGGTCACACCTGACCCAAACTCTGAACCCTAGTCTCATGCTCCACACTGTCCCTGATATGGCCCAGATGGTTACTCAGCCTCTGCTGGCAGCACCCCATTCCAAGGAAATTTCTGAATGATACCTCCGCTCATCTCCTTGGATCCCACACCTCACAGCTCTCACACTGGTGTGAACAACTGCAGATGCTAACCCTCAGTTTCTCCTTCCCCACAGAACCCCATGCTTCTCCCATTTTTGTCAAACTCCATGAAGACCTCTTGCACACTGGCAGGACCCAAGCACCTTGGCACAATTCCTGGTCCTCTTGTATCCCACTGCTTCTAACAACCCGGGAAATTCCAAACTAGAATTACTCTGCAGTGTGCTGTGGAAGAGGATGGACTCAGCCAGAGCACCTAGAGTAGCCACAGGTAAGTTACTTAACCTCGAGTTCCTCAGCTATCAAATGAAAATAGTAATGCACCTACTGCCTAAAGTTTCTGTGAAAATTAACCGAAGCATGTGTAAAGCTTTTAAAGAGGGTTAGTTACTAATTACTACTATTACACAAATTTTAGCTTAGAATAAGCAGGTCTCTGAACCATAAGAAAACCCGAAAGAAAGATCACATCAAAATGGTGTCTTTCCCAGGCTTTCTAATTCTGTGGAAAAGTCAGCAAATGGCTTGCCTCTCTTGGCATATAACCCATTCATTATTTTAAAAAAGGAAAAGAAAAGAAATTCTTTAAAGCTTAGGAATTAAAAACAGTTGCACTATACTTTTCTTAAATTACACTGGGTGATTTTCCAATCATTTTGTATAACCCTCCAAATCCTCATAAGTCTGATGGACAGCACACATAACACAAATCACACAGGCAGAGAAACTCAACCAACTCTTTTGTACCTCAGCTCTGTATGGCATCACGCCGATACTCACCGTGAGCACGGAAACATTAGGTGGAGTGACCAGAACATGCCTGACACAGACAGCTAATCGATACTGTTAGCAAGTGGCTGACACTTCTAGGGTCTGGGTCAGTTTCCACCTCTCGGGGAGGCAAGGTACAGTCACCACCAGGATAACATTTTCTGAGGTGCCTGCAGGTCTCTCCCACCAACATCTCTCTGAGCCCCATCAGCGGGGCACTTTAAATGCACAAAGCAAGTCCTCACCGCCAATGAATTCCTGGAAGGGAAAGGCTTGACCTCCTCTATTCCCCAGCACTAGAACTGAGCCTGGCACTTGGACATACTCCACAAATATTGAGTAAGTAAGTGATTGCTCATTTCTTTAGATTTCTACAGCGTTCAGTTTCAGATCCTTATACCCCTAAAAGAGTCAGTGAACTACTGCCTAGCACATTTCAGCACCACTGAGCCCCATCATCTACTAAGACAAATCCAACTGTTCTGAGATGCCATACACCTCGGGTGAACCCTGCCTCAAAAGAGAACAGACTTTTTTGCACAAATTTGCACAAATAGAAATGTACTTCTAAAATGCTTACCTTGCCTCATAAATGAAAGGGCTTTTTCTTTTACATTATCTGTCAGCTGTTTCTTTTGAGTCAGATAATCCAAAATGTAGATATTTGGAGCAAAATTTATCATGTTCTGTTCTCCGCAGCCGTAAGGCATTCGAATCAGTGAAGCTAAGCCATGGATGGAAGGACCAAGGACATCTCCTGCAAGCACAAGACATCTCAGTCACTGGGTAGACACAATTAACAACTCACCCGCCAGTGGCAAAGAGTTTTCTACTCCATACAGAACAAATCTGGCACACGTGAAATGGGAGCACTACAGAAACTTTACACCACGTTACATGGCCAAAAAGTAACAATGCACAGTACTGAACTCACAAATCATGTACTAAATTACTTTTAGCTCAGTTGATGATATGACATACACATATTAGGTAATTTTTTTTCTTTAAATTTTGAAAAAAATGTCAAGAATTGATTATTAGGAATCATGATTCTCATACAGGAAAGAAATGTTTTTATTATTAGTATTTTTCATGTAAATATAACTTTATACCAATTTCTTACTAAAATGCTATAAATCCTTGAGAAACAGTATTTCTTAAAACAGCAAGTATTTTATAATGTGCTGCACTGAGCAACAGAAGGTATGAAATGTAAGTTTTTAATGACTCGGCATCAAAAAAGATTAGGATATTCTTCAAAGTTGGTAATCTACAATTAAATGAAATGCGTTTATAAGACTCATCACCCACGTTCATTTAATGCTGTTGCTCAAGAAAATAAAAGTTGAGATGTATAGAGGCTGAATTTCTATTTTAGAGCCCACTACTGTAGTTGTAAAAGAATATCCTTCAATGCAGTTCATTCTGAAAACTTATACAATGTCAAGTCCAAATATCTACCAAAAATCTGACCCTCAAAAGTAATTTACATAAGAAACAAAGGAAGACCTCTTTCTTATGAACAGGCTACAGCTCCACCAGCATATCTTCGACTTTAGATGTCAAAAGTGAAACAGTCACATTATTGCCACTGCAGGTCACATTTTTAGTATTCAAAATGAACCATACATTTAAAATCTCAAAAATCCAAAGAAAAAAATTAAAATGTATATATTCTGAGTTTCAAAATAGGTTTATATGGAAATAAAACTTGAAAAACCTATTCTTCATGTTAAGCATAGAGTTATGGGCTGGGAGAAGAACCAAGAAGCCAATCTCCCCTCCTGTGAGCCAGGCAGTGAGTGGGCTGGGAGACGAGAAGACCCCTCCCACAGGTAGGGAACCAGCTGATTCGGAGGAACAGAGGAATGATAGCAACTGAAGTACAAAAGCAGCTTAATGCTTGTGTTGTGTGACATTGCAGGCCTAAAGCTGGTAGTCTGAGCATAAGTTTAGAGGATAACAATACACAACATAGCGACTATAGGGGATTTCTTTTTATCATGTTTTTGAAATCCAATGTCGTTCTCGCTGTTCTGGTTTGTCCCATTTCATTGTTTTATTCTCTTCAAAATAAAAAAGTAAAAATATATTAAGCATAAATATTAAATCTCGAGTATTTTAATGACCATAGATAGACTCATTATTATTTAAGAAGTGGTGGTATACATTTAATCTTCAAGGATTTTTGCATGTGTGTGTGTGCGTGCATGTGTGTATGTGTGCACTTGTGCAAGCACTGTATCCCCAGCATCCCAATGCTTTGGGAGATGCTTAATCAGAATTCCTATAAACAGAAAGCTTAATTCCTTTTAAAAATTATATCTAGGCCTCCAAATAAAGTATAGGGATGGTTTCTTTGTATCTATCATAAAAAGCATTACATGTCGAAAGGTGAGATTTAAATGTACCAACTCCACACAATGAATATAATCATTATGTGCTGCCAATATGCAGTAATAAAAACTAAAAGAAAGAACTCTGAAAAAGTTCTGTAGGTACATGATACCTTGAAGACTAAGACACTATTTTAATGTCATTTCTTCTTCACTTATTTGTAAAGCACAGATCTATCTTTAAAAAAAAAAACAAAAAACCTTTAGGGATAGCTAATTTTACATGTCAACTTGAGTAGGTCACAAAGTGCCCTGATGGATCTGATAAATACTATAATGTTATATGTGGGTGTGTCTTTAAGTGTTTGTGGAAGAGATGAGCATCTGAATCCACGGTCTGATGAAGACAGAAGGTCTCAGGGGTACAACAGACAATAGCAAACCAAGGAGAGCAACAGCACACACAGCCAAGAAAGAAGATGTCTGCCATTTCTCCTGGCTCATGCTGAAGTCCAAACATCGTGTCTGGGATTTTATAGGACCAGCGCACCACCAGCTCTTGGCCTGCAGTCTCACACTTATCACCGCAGCAGCTGTTCTGGATCTCTGGCTTGCAAATAGCCTATGACAGGCTCACTCGGCCTCCAAAATGGCATCAGCACATTCCTCATAATAAAACTCCCTTTACATATGTACTGTTGGTTCTGTTTCTCTGGAGGACTCCAACTTCAGTTGTGTTTAATTTGAAAGAAGTTTTAAGTTTCTGACAGGATCTAGGAAAAGTGACTAAATCAATGGGCAGCTTCCAGATGTGAAGGTTGCTGTGTCCTCACCAAGAACTACTCCAAGCAATCATTCTCAGCCTGTGTTTAGCAGAATCACCTAACAAACCTTTTCAAAATAGACCAACCCTAACCAGAGTCCAAGAAATTCTAATTTAGTAGGTTTTGAGTTATTTGGGGGGTGGGGGAAACCAGTCTGATTCAAAGCTCAGGGGCATCTAAGGACACCTGAGGATGTGACCCCACCTGTCTAGCTCAAGCGCACAGTGGAATACAGTTATGTAGCCCTGACTTAGCGCAGGTAAACATGCATGCACTGGTCATAGCACTATGAAGAATGTAAACATGCGATGACCACCTGTATAAGATTATTACACAATAAAGATGCAGGCGGCTCCTGTGCTTGCGCTTTTGTGCTCTCCTCTGCTCCACGCTGCCTGCTATTGGTGCTGATGTCTTGCACATGTGCATTCTTTAATTTTTTAAAATTTTATTTAAAAAGGAAAAAACAAAACAGAAAAAGGGTAGAAATAATACAGAATTTCAAAAAAATAAACAGAAGGAAATCACTAGTTGATAAATTACATATTGTCCTCTTAGAAATAGTTGTTCAAGTTACAAAAGTAAAGCATACAAAGTGGACATTCAAACAGCAAGACTGCAAACAGTTCTGTTCAGCAATCTAACAAAAACTTAGTAATCAATCCTATATACTTAAACATGCATGCAGTTATATCCTTTAGAGTACTTTCTTTCCAGTCTCTAGTCTTGAGACCTTGCCCGCAAAAGCTCCTTTGGGCCCACCAAGTGGGCTGACATTGTATTTTTTTAAAAGCTTCATAGAAAATTCTGGTACTCGCTAGAGGTCAAGAGCCACACAAGCCAGAGCTCTACCTTTAGAAATAAATACTCTGCAGCCAGAGTATTGTGGGGTCTTGCTACGCATGGTGTGGCCTGCAAGCAGAAGCGGCACCCTTGCCTATTAGAAATGCAGGTGATCCATATGAACCCTGAAAAGGGAGAGAAGATAGTCTAAGGGACAGAACTTGCTGTTGAATCAATGGCTGGCACAAACAAAAACTTTTATCATCTCTTCTCATTACTAACAAATAAGGAAGTATACCCGTAAATAGAAGAGCAGTAGATACTATTATATACCAGTAAGCCAACAGAAGGTGATGCTGTGTTCTTACCTACTGCAGTGATCTGAACTCTCTCACTGCCACTGACCGTATCAGGGGGAAACGAGAAACTCAAAGTTTCCACGGTTGGCTGTCTGTTAGTCGAGTCTAGCAAGACGGCTTGTGAATATGATTTTTCTATCCCTTCAGCCTATTAAAAAAAAAAGGACAAAATTAATATCATCTCAGTTTCTTTACAGAGAACTGGACACTACAGAAGACACAGAGAAGTGGACACTACAGGCATCAGGCCTATTGTATCTGTAGTTTGTAAACAGCTAGATGAGTACCTATTATTTCTTGATTCTGACTTCAAATCTATATAATTCCTAGTTAAATTACACAAAATTCACGGAATACCAATGGAAATGACAAAAGAGATCAAGTGGGATGTGAAAACCTTCTGAGGCAGATTTCATTGTTATCCAAAAGAAAAATTACCTTACCGAAATCACATCTAATAAAGCAGAGTACAAACCCAGGTGTATCTGATCCTACAGCCAAGTGTTTATCCACTATGCTGAGCTGTCTTTTTTTAATTCTTCTCAGAAGTCTACAAAATCTCTTCTACCTATGTTGGGGGCACCAAAATTTCCAGTCTACTTACCAGCTTGACCATAATTTAGCAAGATCCCACGTAACACAGCTTATAGATGTAAAAGACCATAAAAGAGATTTTACAATTGTGTTTCTGCTTCCACTCATAATGGAGCAGTTCTAAAACATTAATGTGTCATATTTTTACACACAGATGAGAAAACATTAGGCAAGAACAGGAAGATTGAAGCAATGACCTACTAGACTTGCCAACAAATTTAACTGAGAGAAAAACCATCTTGTTTGATTTTCAATTACGTATTTCCATTTTATTTACTTAAAACTGCAAATATTTACCTTTACTAAAATCCTCTGGGTGATAGCATCAGAAGCCATGGGTGAGATGGCTCTGACTGTGATGGGGATTTCTCCCAGATGTGTAGGCCTAATTGGGAAAAGAACAGTTGTACCATCTTCACTGGGAACCAGAATGTCCTGCTGGTGTCCTGTAGCATTTATTTCTTTTGAAGTCATTAGAATATCAAATCTGTCACTCTCTTCAATGATTACCTTAACCTAGAAGGAAAAAGTACCAAAGATTTTTTTATAATAAATGCTCTTTGGTAAAGTGTTGTCTTATCACCACATTAAATCTGTGAGGCTCAAAATCAGAAAAGATGAGACAAACATTCAGCTAAGGGGAGAATGAAAGGATATCAGGAAAACATTTATTTCCTACACTTTCCCCTCTCACCTCAATATAACTGGGGAAAGAAACTTTTAGGCTCCATTTCTTGTCCTTTCTACCATTAAGTTCTCTCCTTACTCCAAGGAGTAATAAAGTTGTTACGGAAAAGTTATTTACAATATTTGTATCACAACCAGCCTAACTTAACTGCGACATTCTAGGAGACACTGGTCCCATTAGAAAAGCATAAGCCAAACAGAATAAATGTTACCACCTCTATTAGGAGTCTCTTCAAAACTTATCCCAAGAGCAGTGTTATTCAGAGATTAGTTCTAAAACACATGCCAAGTTTCTAGTCTCAAAAAGCAGCATTTTTCTAGGCTTTGTATTTTACTAACTGTTTGACAACTCACTTTTTAACTTGCTTCTCAAAATATTTTTTGTAAATAGTAATTATTATCCCCACTTTTTTTAGATGAGAAAACTACAATTAAGTTATACACGGTAAGTGGCAAATAAGACCACTGGCCTTCTGACTCCTTTTTTTTTTTTTTTTTTTGCTTGCATCATGCTCACTAAATTAAAAAATACAATTAAACCATAAAATGCAGCTTAGTAGTAGAGTGTATGCTTAGCATAAGCAAGGCCCTGCACTCAATCCCTAGCAACAATAATTAATTAAAATTTTAAAAACACTGCCCTGTATAGACATAGTACCTAAAGAACTTGTGGCATTTTCACACTGTAAAGCTAACTGCATATCCCTAGTTACTCTGGGGAAAAAAATTTAACCAAAATCTGTTTCACACTACTGCAGGCATAATAACACAGCAGACTTCATCCCTGGCCTCCAGGCAGTGACTGCCTAAGAAGACACAGGCACATGTGCAGCCATGGAGAGTAAAACACAACAGAACAGGAAAGGCATCTCAGTGTCACAACCATCTTCACGGGGATACGTACTGAACAACTGCAACAGGCCCAAAATGGCAGTGACAAGAGGAGGCCTCCGTGACCACAGGGAAGCCCCGCGGCTACCAGTGAGAGCCTGTGCTGGAGAGATGTGCTAATGACAGCCTGGCAAAGTACATCTATGCTCAGTCTCCCGGAGATGTGGAACGTGCTTAGCTGCCCAAATATTTCCCCATCTAACCTCTGCATGTTTTCTCTTGAATACATTACCTCCGTAGCATCTTTCAAATAATTGAATATGGTTACTTCCAAAGCAAATTCTTCACCTCTGATAACAGAGTAGGGAAGATTCAAAAAAATGAAAAATGGTTGGAAGGCTTGTAGCTGGAAAGAACACAGTGAATACATATTTTTATTCTCGTCAAAATGCTTCACATTATACATAATTAAAAGCAATACTTACAAAGCCTGTAAAGCTTATAAATCTACCTACTAATAGCTCCTCATCTATCAACAAAGAGCACATAACAACTGATCCCAAATAAATGACAGCAAATTGACTTGATTTATGTTACTTAACATAACAACCAGCAACACATTATGAGTCACCTGCCAGGAGTTAAGCATATCATAAATTATACCACTTCATCATTACAACTGTATAAGGGCATTATGCTCCTATTTGACAACCAAGAAAACTGAAGTTCAGAGATCTTTCATACTGCACACACATGTGCAAACACACACACACACATCCTCCTTGGAGAGCCAATGCTGAAACGGGCTGAGCCTGCAGGAGGTGCCAAACCCATCCTCTGTCTCTGAAGCTAAACCTGGATTCGTTTAAGCCAATGGTGTCACTGGTGCAGCAATTCCCCTAGAGGTTTATTTGAACCTTTGTGAAGGTGTCTTGGACTGTTACAAAGATGGAAGATGTTACTGGCACCCAGCGGTGAAGTTCGATCATGCTCAGGGAGCCCTAATCAATGAAGAACTATGTCGTGTTCTTCACAATTTCTGAATGTCTCTGTAGACATTCATGTAAACAATCTATTTAAATGCTTTAAGCTTACAACACAATCCCAATTTATACAAAAATCCTAAGCATTTTTCAACATGCAATGAATTTTTCACAGACACAACTAATTTGTAAATCAAGGGAACACTGCACCTTGTTTTGTGTGTAACCTTACCAAAAGTTGCTCATTATTTCAGAAATTTACAGCACCACAGGCAGTGGTTTCTGAGTTACTAAACTCAACATGTATACATCAAGCTGCATTCATAACCATTATACACAGGGTGGCTCTGCCCAGTGTAAACATTTAAGCTTCCTGACCACTGACATCCTGAAACACATATTATGTTATCTATTCTTTTCCTTTTATTTCCCCTTAGTACTTCGCACAGGATATAGTATTAATTTTTGAAACCATGTATGTAGGTATGACCTATGCATTTCATTTTGGATGGTAAAGAGGACACACGAATTGCTACAAGTGGAGGGCTTTTGGTACTGTACATCAGAAGTGACGGCATTGGTCTAAGCTACACATCAGCATTGTACTACTAATAGTAGCTGGAAACAGAATGCCATAACAATTTGACCAAAGAGATATGAAGGAATCATATATGCTAGGGGACATCTTGAAAAGTTCTGCTGACCCTTGAGGGACAGATGAACATTCTTTCTCTTTTACCACTGGAAGTTATTAGATCAGCTCAATAATAAATTTTTCTACCCAAATCTTAATAGGAACCTAGCACATCCAGTAATTGCATGTTGCTCACATTCTAAAATTTGAAATGCACAGAAAGCAGAAAGGCAAAGCCAACCAATCCCCAAATTATGGTAACATCATAAGCAATCATTTTTTTAAATCTACTGAGTAGCTGAAATTCTTAGCTTCGCAGTACTGTGACATGAATGTACAGCCTTTAAAATGCTACCTCCACAGGAGCAGTTGTTAGGCCAAGACCTAAGTCTTCAGAGATCACAAAAGCTGTAGCCACCCAGGAAGTGATAGAATCAGGTACAGTAACTTCAAATTCTTGATAAATCTTAGATCTGAAGTGAAGACAAACATAAAAATCACAAAAACCAAAATAAATCAAGAAATTTTGGGGAAGGATTTTAATTTTCTGTATCATCTGTATACCCAAATTTAATATTATTTTAGCATAAAAAGTAGATACCAAATTCTCAAAAACTAGGCCAAACTATTGCATACTGATCCTTTTCTCTTAAAATCTTTCTACAATGTTTCTATCTTCAGAATGACCACTATCTTTTCATAAATTTTGTACAGAGAAAAATATGTATTTCTAAACTTTTATTTTTTCTCAGTTGCAAAAGAGGTTTTTCTCTATATCTCCGTCAATGCTGACCTTTTTATAGTGGTGGTCTAAGATCTGACTCATGTCTGATTTAAGATATCCTTTAAAGTCTGACTATAAGACACTATCTAGATTGCAAGATTTTATTTTTTGTTTTTGTTCTTGTTTGCTGGACCTCATACAGTTTGAGACACATCCTGTACCACTGAGCTATAGCCCCAGCCCAAATTCCAAGACTCATTGGCTCAGGTATCAGGGTGCCCAGGATTGCTCAGCAAAGCTGCCCCTTCTTCCCTCTGTGGCTCGTGGGTTATCTTGTGAGGAATGCTCTTCAGTTAGCTGTCCTACCCTACAGTCCAGCAGGTAACGATGAGCATTTCCCTCCCATGGTCACAAATGGAAAAGCCATTTTTCTACAACCATAAGACTTTAAGGAAATTAAAATCTTCCTTCCTTTTTTTAAAAAACTCCCTCTACCTTGATGGTGCTCTGCAGCCACAGTCTGCATGTGACTTCATTAAATAGTTAGATTTAGTTGACATGATTCTAAAACAAAAGTCTCTTGGCTTACTTAATTCTTCATTATACTATATTTGTACTTAAACATTAGACAGAGCGCAAACTTTATTTAAAACACACAACAAGCAAAATATGCATGAACAAAGTTTATCGCTGTTTACCCCATGTGAACATCCAGCCAAAGCCAAGTCTCTGGAAAGTGCTTTCTGACATGTGGATTACTGGCTGAAGAAAAACCATGAATATCTAAGTATCCCTCATTTTCCTCCATATACCTCTCGGCATATTCGACAAAGTCATCTAAAGATAAACATGAATCTTGGTTAGGAACATACTCATTCAAGAGAATGAATTTTAAACTTGATGCCCAGAATCACAGTCCCTCTCAGATGCCTGTGTTTTCAAGTTCATCTTGAGAAACTTGAAAGGCACAGGAAGTTAACCGATTTACCAAAAACCACCTGGATGGTGACTTCAGAACCAGAATTTTAAAAAAAGAAAAAAAAATTCTTATTCCTACAATGAATAACCAAAAAACTACTTATCATCAAGGTCTTAAAATTTTTCAACTAAAATATTTTTCTTCTTTTTTTTATCTATTGCCATAGCCTCCCATGGTGCTGAGATTACAGGCATGTACCATCCCACCCAGTTTAACTTGAAATTTTAAGAGTCAAATCCCATTTTTAAAGTGTCCACAATTTTTGAATTTTTCTCTTTTTAGTTCCTTTGACCATTTATCACTGGCTATGCAGCCATGCTACAATCACCCAGTGTGTTGGGTTTTTCGGGAAAAAGGGGGCCATACAGACTTTCAATCATGTATCTTCATTTTTTTCAGTTTGTATGTAAGACCAAAATAAAGCCTACAGTGTTGTAGGCTCTAAGATTATAAAGATGGATGCAATGAGACAAACAGAAAACTGTAAGAGTATTATAAGGGTGCCAGAGATACGTAAAAGATCTGCTTGATGAATATGAATATGAATATGAATATGAATGATGAAAGGATATGCCAAGATAGAGAACGTCCAGGAAGATGGGAAAGCGGTAAGCAGTAACAAATCAGCCGCTCCAACATAGATATGGAATACAGATACTAAAAAATAATAACGTGGGGGAGGAAACAAGAGAAGTGGATCCCTGGGACCCAGCAAGGACCTGAAGGGAAACTGGAGCCCACAGAGAAATAAAAAGACAGACACAGCACAGAAAAGGAAGAGGAAACTTGTACTTTCTCCTCATCTCCTCGTTCATGGCAAGAGAAAGAAAGATTGAATCTACAGTGAAAGGAGATGACGCTGGAGGCCTCCAGGGAGAAAGGCCCCAGGGCATGGAACAGTTGATGCCATGTACTACCACAGCTGGTGAGTGACTCCAGTCCAAATGACTGCTGTGTCCCCTGGAAAGCATGCCCAGTCAGATACCAAGGCCAACTGACCTAGGACTCAGAGCAGTCGCAGACCCGTTTCATCTCAGGACTCCCAGAGTTAAACTCCCACAGTGACTATGTAAGGGACAATCATAGGAGACGTCCATGGTCAGGGAGCTGTAGACAAGCTGGAGAAAGACACCAGAGTGTTACAAGCTAAACCACTCAGACCTCAGCCCAAGACCAGACATCAGGTGCATCCTCAAGTTCCACGGATTTGAAAGTCTCAGAACCAATGCCAAACTCTAATCCTGCTGCCTGATTGCGGGGATTATCTGGCACTGCTCTGGGCGCTGCTTCCTTCCCATGTCTATCAGCAACAGCAGAGGCACAGCTTGAACTAGACCAAAACTATAGACCCCAGAAGACAACCACAGGCTTGAAGTCATAGAAAAATTTGTTTCTTTTTTTCTTTGCTTTTTTGTTTTTATTTTTATTCTTGGCAGGGAGGTTCCCCTCTGCTTGCTTGTTTTTATTTCTTTGTGAGGGTGAATTTTGTTTGTAGTTCATTTTGGTTGGTTCCTCATTTTGTTTTCTTTCCTTCCCTTCTGTCTTCTTCACCAGTTCCTGAAGCTTGGGTAATCTCCCTCTGTCCTTCAGCCTTGCTTCTAATCTTTTTCTTGTTTTATTTCTCTGTTTTTTCCCCTTCTCCCTTTTAATTTTCTCCCATTAGGGTAAAATTGCTCTACTGAGTGGATATTTACTGACAATTTTCTGATTTGTCTTAGGTCTTGTTACATAGCTATAAATCTTTACATATGATTAAAAGTGACAAATTATTACTTATCACAATTTGTGATTTTCTAGTCTGTGCTTGATGCCATTGTTATCGCTGACTGATCTACTTTACTCAAGGTGACATACCTGCTATGATCAACTGATCTTCTTTGCATACCAATACCTAGAGTGTCTGGGAGACACAATCAACACTACAATCCATAATCAATACAAAGAACTGGGTGCTAGGTCAAACATGCAGCAACCTCTTGTTCCTAATAAACCAAAGGGGCAGGATCCTGGGACAGACTCAAAGGCTGAAAGGCAGGTATCCTAGAAGACATCTCTGAAAAGTAGTCATTTCTAAGAGATCACATTTCTAGTAATAAAGCTACCTACCCTAAGCAATTTATAATCATCACTGCCAAAAACAAATAATAGAAAATGAGAAAACATGGAAGAATATGCAACCCCAGATCTCAAGCTCACTCAAGGCAAATCTTAGGGATGTTGAAGTAGAAGAAATCAAAACCCACCCAGCTAAACTTTCTGAAAAGGTGGAGTGGAAGTATTAAAGCAGATAAATGAGACTCTAAAAATAAAACAAAATAGAAATAATTACAGGGATAATTAGAGATGATGATCATAATGAAGGATATCACTGGTGAATCTAGGGTAGATACACATTAAAAAAATAAAGGCAAAGTCCAGGTATGGTGGTGCACACCTGTAATCTCAGCACTCAGGAGGCTGAGGCAGGAGGATCATTTTAAGTTTGATACCAGCCTGGATTACAAAGTGAGCTCAATGCCATCCTGAACTACCTAGAGAAATCCTGTCTCAAAAAAAGGCAAAAAAAATAGAGGAATTAGGAAAGTGATGCAAACCATGAATGCCTAGCATAGGAAAGAAACAGATTTCATAAAGAGGACTCAGATAGCTACCAGATTAAAAATTTTATTAAAAGTATACACAGCAGAATCAACAAATGTGAAAATAGAATATTATATCTAAAAAAAAGGGTGGTGGTAGCAATTGTCAAATGAAAGACTCTTAAAAACAGCAAGGGGCCATGAAAAATCAATCCAACAGCTGCCAAACAATACAGAGAAGAATAACATAAGACTAATCAGAATGAATGAAAAATTAGAAGATAGCACAAAGGCCATAAAACAAATTTGTTCACAGAAGTAATACAAGAAAACTTCCTAAGCATGAAAAAGAATAAGATAAGTTAATTAACCAAGATCAGAAAAACTACACTAAAGCATATAATAGTCAAGAGTCCAGAAATTCAGCACAAGAATAAAATATCAAAAACTTCTAGAGAAAAGAAACAAGTCACCTATAAAAGAAAACCCATTAGAATCTCAGCATATTTCTCAACACAAACCCTTAAGTCAAGGAGAGTTTAGAGTGAAATATTTCAAGCTGTACAAGAAAATAAACTCCATCCCAGACTGTGGCCTCAGTTCCTGAATTTAATTCTTTCCATGATTCTGGTTCCAAACAGAATTAGACAATAATCAAATCAAACTCAATGGTCACATTCAATGTTGACCTTATAGGTAATTTTTTGGTTCACAACCAATTAAGTTTGGAACCAGGAACATGGAAAGAATTAAGTTCATAAAGTAAGGTACCACTGTACTTTTCAAAATTGAAGGAGAAATAAGATACTTCCATGATAAAGGACACCTAAAGAAATTCATGACCACCAAACCAGCACTCAAAAGTACTGAAGAACAACAATTCCAAGAATCCCAATGGAATGAATCCACCAGGTGAGGCAAGCAATTAGACAGAAGGGAAAGAAAGTGAATCAACAACAGAAAACTGATATACTGAAAAAGACAAGTCAAAAAAAATAAAAAATAAAAAGACAAGTCAATACCTATTAGGTACAACCATCAATATGAATGGTCTCAATTCATCAATCAAAAGAAACAGATTTAACAGAATAGATATGAAACAAGACTCAACAACGTGCTGCACTCAAGAAACACATTTAACTCAAAAAGAAATTTACAGACTGAAAGTGTCAAGGAATGGGAAACAATTCTACAGGCATTCAGAAAAAAGCAAGGGCAGCAATCAATTAGGAGACAAAGTGGATGTCAAGCCAAGACTGATCAAAAGAGACAAAGAAGGGCACCATATACTTATTAAGGAATAATCCAAGAGAAAGAGGCAGCAATCATAAATATATATGCACCAAGTGCCAGAACACCCAATTATATAAAATAATTCACGCATATGAGAAATCAGGTAAGCACTAACACAATTGTAATGGAGGAACCTCAATATTCTACTGTCACAAATAGACAAGTCAACTAGAAAATCAACAAAGAAATACCAGAGCGGAACCAAACACTTGAACAAACGGATGTAGCAGACATCTAAAGAGTACTCTACCCTACAACAAAAGAACACACACTGTTCTCAGCAGCATACTAGATTTTTCTCCAAAACAGACGACATATTAAATCACAGAACAGGGCCCAGGATTTAGCTCAGTGGCATAAACTCCTGCCTGGCAAGCGCAAGGTCATGAGTTCAATCCCCAGTACAAAAAAAAAAAAAAAAAGACATTAAATCACAGAACATGTTTAAGTAAATGCAAAGAAAGTGAAATTATTCCATACATATTATCAGATCATAGTGTAATGAAATTGGAAATAAAGGGCAAAAGAAACCACAAAAATTTCATAAACACATGGAAATTAAGTAACACCCTCCTGAGAAACTACTGGGTCACAGATAAAGAAGAAATTACAGTTTGTATAATGAAACAATAATGTCAACATGACACACTAGAAATTATGGGATGCAATGAAAGCAGTACTACAATGGAAATTTATAGTGGTGAATACCTACATCAGAAAAAGAGAGTAAGTTCAAATAAGTAACCTAATGTTGACGTTCAACCTTTTAGAAAAAAAGAGAAAGTTAAACCAATGCTCATACAAGGAAGGAAACTATAAAGATCAGAACAAAATTAATGCAACTGAGACTAAGAAGATAATACAATGAATCAAGATTTGATTCTTTAAAATATTAAATAAGGGCTGGGGATTTAGCTCAGCAGCATAAGCACCTGCCTAAGCATGAGATCGTGAGTTTGATCCCCAGTACCAAAAAATAAAATAAA